TTTACATACACCTTTCTAAACATTTGTTTGTAACAGTATTACTATACTATTAAATTAACACACCAGGCACCACTGCCACTTCAGCTGCAGAGTTTAGCTCAATAAATGAAAGTTATAAACTGATTCTCTGAGCCAATCAGCTAAACCCTGGATTTCAGGGATTAGCTCAGGATTGGTAACTGAAGTTTCAGCTTCGGAACTTCCAGTCTCTGACACTAATAGTGGAGGCAGGGAGTCACTACCAGCTGACACCACGTAAAAGTACACTACTTTCAATGGGGCGAAGGGGCACCTGGGCACTTCTTCCTGGCACCAGAACCACTATGGTGACCTGTATATGTTAGGGTGTTTGGAGTGTTCCTTTAAACACCACTCCCTCTTACTATTCTGGACTACATATTTTCTAATAACTTAATATACATATTAATTATACACTATTCTAAGCATATAACCATTTTAATTAAAAACCTAGGTATTCTAGTATTATTTATACCCCAACCAGGTTCACAGAAAAGTAGAGTAAAATTATTAACAAACTAAAATGCATTGTTTAATAGCCTCATATCATAAAATATTGCTTTTCCTGTTGCTTATCTTGATTGCCTTAGCTATCACATATACTGTATTTTAACTTTTTCTGATACAAATTATTATTAAAATGGGTTTCCCTTTAACCTAAAATAATAATGAGGTTTCACATTTGTAATCCAGTAGGCTACAGAGGATATCCGTGCTGGAACACCCACAACTCGCCTGAAGACATATTGCAATCAATTGTAATGCTTTAATTTCAGTTTACTTCAGAGGAGAATGTTTTAGAGAATCTCAGCAATATATTTGAAAGTCATGGAATTTACATATTTTTTTTAATTTCACTATCTCTCTAATACTATCCCTTGTGAGATCAGTGCATTTTTTTTTTTGCTTTGCAAAGACCCCGCCTCCCCCAAGGTGACTTACCTGTTTGCATGTTAGAACCCAGAGGTGCGTAAGAAGGGATGAGCACTAGACCTGAATCTCTCCCTCTTTATTACCTCCTTATTAGCTCATTCAGCAGGTCCTGTCAGATAAACCCACCTGGAGCCATTCTACTTGTGTATTGTTACACATGCAAAAGTTCAAAATGGTGGGTCTATTGAATATCTCCCAAAACTTCAATGTAATCAGTGATGTGGCCCTCTAGTGTAAAGAATAAACTGTAACTAACCTGGTACACCGTGGTAGAGTTCCTCCATCTTTTATAATGACTCAATGTTGAATGTTGCACAGGTTCAACAGGTATTTTTATACATGATCACTGCCTATTGGCTTATATGTATTTTTGTTTCAAACACGCTTGTATTTTATGTGTCTATGCTATTGAACCTGTGGATTACTCAACAATGTCCATCAAGATTCTAGGTTCCTCTACAGGTCTTCTTATGCATGCAGAATGAGCTGCAACAGGCATATTTGTGATAGCAGATAGGAAATGGGAAAATATGGCAGGGGAGACCAGTTTCTTGCCACATTTTGCCAAAAATTGAAGGAGAATGTCAAAAGGGCCTTTCAGTTAGTATTACGTCATGCAAGAGCCTTATTATTCTGTCTGCATTAAATCTGCTGTAAGTAGTCCGTTCTCTTAGATCTCAAACTCTATCAATTGTGAATTAAGACACATGGGTTTATTTACTTAGCAAGGAATCGTGGAGGATTGACAAGAGAATTGCACATTTTATGACAAAATAGCCAAAATGGAAAAATTAAGATTACTTCCAGTTTAGCTATTTTTCCTCAACCTTTGTACTTCTTTTGCCATTTCTCAACAATTCCAAATTTAATGAATAAGAAACCTTTAGTGTACCTCTGTCAATCATTTTCAATGAAACGAATAGAACTATTAAAGAGAAAACCCTTCAAATGTCCCTGTCTTCACACTATGTCATGCTAGATCCATTAGTCACCAAGAAAGGACAAATCAAAAAATATGATCAATCTTTGTCACTGTGCTAAAAAGAGGTCATCCTTCTGGTGCAGTCAGTAATCTTCCTTCAACATATAAACAGTTTGGTTTCAAAGTTCCTTTATGTCACAGTCTTCCTTACTTCAAATTATTTTCTATCGCCTTGTTATCCACTTCTTTGATGAACTCCTTGATGAAATTTTCATCAATATCCTGAGATAGTTCATCCACCCATTTCGGCGTCGCGGAATTCTTGGAGATGCCAAAGTGGCCAATAAGCAAGCCAATGGCTAGTATAACGGCTCCTCCAAACACCCCACCAACAATTTTCCATACATTCATCCTTCCTCGATGATCTGAAGCTGGAAGAGATTTTATCTCTGGTTCCAAACTATTTATACCAATCCTATATCATTATATGACCTTGAATTTCATACTAGTTTTGATAACAGCTGAGTTACATATTATGAAGAAGACGCTCAATAATATTTTACTTTGTGATAGAAACTCAACCAGTGCCCTTTGCCCCATGGCACATGTAGCTGAAATACAATGAGCACAGCATTTATTGGAGGTGAGCAGTTAATGTTTATTAGCTAGGTATTTACACTTGACCATGAGTGCACATATTAAAATTAACCAGCTGTGTCTCTCGTATTCTGAGGAACTTAATTAACATTACTATATTACATAATGATGACTATCTGCACACTGATAAAAAAAAAGATAGGGCTATATAACAATTGCATTTTATGTTTAGCCTGGCAAGGATTTATTAAGATATGCTAAGGGTAATACAAGAATCCACCTTTGAATCTTAAGATTAAGTTTTAACCAAAACATAAATAAGTCTTAAAGGGGCACGTGGTGTATTTTATGTAGATGTGCTGGTTGACTCCTGTTATAATGTGTTAAAAGTTGTTATCTCAGTTAAGCAATTGGCTTAATGTTATAAAGATAGATGGCCATCTAATGACTTTTTACTTGAATGCTGAATGATTACATATCTGTAAATGTGAACAACTTTATTGTACCCTTTCAAATGCAAATTTTTGACATGCTTGTCAATCTTTTTGTTTGTACAAAGAATTAAAAAAAATGATTTCTAACCAATCAACCGATGTGGGCTAAATTAATTAAAATGTACATGATGTGAACAAACAGCTAAGATAATGGAGGAATACAGCCAGTTTTATAGGCTACACATAGGAGAGTACTTGCTTGTATAAATAGCCCCAACTGCCTGCCATCATGATGTACTTTTTGTTGTGGAATAACTGTAAGGCAAAGTGTAAGCATTGTAACTACTTCAATGGTCTGAAGTGGTTATGGTACCAGGAGTCCAAGAGTGCCAGGTTCCTCATTGCTGCTAAATAGTTTATTCACCATGTAGCAGAGATGTGCGGTCCCTGGCAGCCTGCAGCCCAGCCTTTAATGACAATATGGCAACAGTGAAGTTATGCATTGGCCTTGCACCATTCCAGTCCATACTATGAATTGGGCTGAATGATTCCCTGGTTTGTGAGAGCTCACCGAGTTAGCTGCACAGCCTGTGGGTTTGCAGCAAATAAAAGAACTGACTGAACCACACCGCTGTTAGTCTACTGCATTGCTATACACATCCTTCAACTGGTATCACTCCATATATCCTTGAGTGGGGATTATTCCACTTAATGCATTCCATACCAGAGCTGGATTTTAGCTCTGGAGATTGTGAGTAGTACCGTATTACCATAATTCCAATATCCAAGTTTATCTACCTACTGTACCATTGGATTTCCGTCTTTCTCGTTTTTTCCCATATGTTCCATTGAATTACAGGTCTACACCCGGGAAGATTCATCCAATCTGCTGTTCTACAAGAATTTTCCCTACTACTGTGGATTACACTACATTGGACTATATCTTATTATCCACTTGTATATACAATTTTTATTACTATTTTTTAATGCGAATCCTTTCCCTTTTTTATTTGTTTTGTTCTTACTTATTTATAGGGGACCCCACTTTCTCTTAGGTGTGCTGCCTGTATCATATACACGACTAACTTCTTGTGGCACCTTAGCGCTGATCATATTTTTACCCTTCTAGCCATACTGAAGTGGGCAATGATTGGCTAAGCGCGTTTTGCTGATGCTTTCAGCCTGTCACTGCCCGCTGCCCCAGAGATGACTTGAAGCAGAGCATAACTTTGCCTCTGCTACCTCGGCATTGCGGGCTAGACTGCTGGCTGCTGAGGACCAAGAATTTCTGCTAAGTGGTGAGTTAACCAGATACTATATCCAAATTAGTTGAAGTTGTTATGGTGCCTACAGTATTGTTTTTTTAAGTGATACTAAAGACAACAAAATAACTTTAGCTTAATGAAGCAGTTTTGATGTACAGATCATTCCCCTGCAGTCTCACTGCTTAACTCTCTGCCATTTTGGAGTTAAATCACTTTTTTTGTTTTTTTTTAATATAGAAACATAGAATGTGACGGCAAATAAGAACCATTCGGCCCATCTAGTCTGCCCAATTTTCTAAATACTTTCATTAGTCCCTGGCCTTATCTTATAGTTAGGATAGCCTTATGCCTATCCCACGCATGCTTAAACTCCTTTACTGTGTTAACCTCTACCACTTCAGCTGGAAGGCTATTCCATGCATCCACTACCCTCTCGGTAAAGTAATACTTCCTGATATTATTTTTAAACCTTTGTCCCTCTAATTTAAGACTGTCCTCTTGTTGTGGTAGTTTTTCTTCTTTTAAATATAGTCTCCTCCTTTACTGTGTTGATTCCCTTTATGTATTTAAATGTTTCTATCATATCCCCCATCTCGTCTTTCCTCCAACCTATACATGTTAAGATCCTTTAACCTTTCCTGGTAAGTTTTATCCCGCAATCCATGAACCAGTTTAGTAGCCCTTCTCTGAACTCTCTCTATCAATATCCTTCTGAAGATACGGTCTCCAGTACTGTGTACAATACTCCAAGTGAGGTCTCACCAGTGTTCTGTACAATGGCATGAGCACTTCCCTCTCTCTACTGCTAATACCTCTCCCTATACAACCAAGCATTCTGCTAGCATTTCCTGCTGCTCTATTACATTGTCTGCCAACCTTTAAGTCATCAGAAATAATCACCCCTAAATCCCTTTCCTCAGATGTTGAGGTTAGGACTCTATCAAATATTCTGTACTCTGCCCTTGGGTTTTTACATCCAAGATGCATTATCTTGCACTTATCCACATTAAATGTCAGTTGCCACAACTCTGAGCATTTTTCTAGTTTACCTAAATCATTTGCAATCTGGCTGGTCCCTCCTGGAACATCAACCCTGTTACATATCTTAGTATCATCAGCAAAAAGACATACCTTACTATCAAGACCTTCTGCAATATCACTAATAAAAATATTAAAGAGAATGGGTTCCAAGTACAGATCCCTGAGGTACCCCACTGGTGACAAGCCCATGCTTCGAATATACTCCATTGACTACAACCCTATGTTGCCTGTCACTCAGCCACTGCCTTACCCATTCAGCAATATTGGAATCCAAACTTAAAGATTGCAGTTTATTGATAAGCCTTCTATGTACAACAGTGTCAAAAGCCTTACTGAAATCTAGGTAAGCAATGTCTACTATATCACCCTGATCTATTATTTTAGTTACCCAATCAAAAAAATCAATAAGATTAGTTTGGCATGATCTCCCTGAAGTAAACCCATGTTGTCTCTGATCTTGAAATCCATGTGTTTTAGATGTTCAACAATCCTATCCTTTAACATGGTTTCCATTACTTTCCCCACTACTAAAGTAAGGCTTACTGGCCTATAGTTGCCCATCTCCCCCCTACTACCTTTCTTGTGAATGGGCACAACTTCCAATCTTCTGGGACTACTCCTGTTAACAATGATTGGTTAAATAAATCTGTTCATGGTTTTGCTAGTACACCACTAAGCTCTTTTTAATAACTTTAGGTGTATTCCATCAGGTCCCATTGACTTATTTGTTTTTACTTTTGACAGTAGAAATAGAACCTCTTCCTCTGTAAACTCACATGTAACAAATGACTAATTTGTCCTTTTTCCTGAAGCCCTTTTCCTTCATTTTCATCTGTAAATACTGAACAAAAAATGTCATTGAGGCAGTCAGCGAGACCTTTAACCTCTTCCACATACCTTCCTTCTTTTGTTTTTAATCTAACTAATCATTGTTTTACTTTCCTTTTCTCATTTATGTATCTAAAAATGTTTTGTCCCCTTTTTTTTACTGACTGTGCTATTTTAACTTCTGTGTGTGATTTTTACGCTCTTATAATGTGCTTAGATTCTTTCTGCCTAATCTTATAGATCATTCTGTCTTGCTCACTCTGGGTTTCCTTATAATTACTAAATGCTAACTTTTTGGTTTGTACTATTTTGGCCACATCTGCGGAGTACCACAGTGGTTTCTTGGATTTTTTGCTTTTACTGACAAGCCTAATGCAATTTTCTGTTGCCTTCAGCAGTGCAACTTTTAAATAATCCCATTTCTCTTGGACACCATTTAAATTGCTCTAGTCTGATAATGACTAAAGTCTAAAACTTTTGTTTTTGTGTGGTGTGACTCAGTTACTGTTCTTATATTAAACCACACTGACTGATGATCACTGGATCCTAAACTTTCACCTACTGTAATATCTGATACCAAATCTCCATTTGTTAACACTAAATCTAGTATGGCCTCTTTACGAGTTGGCTCCTTAATGACTTGTTTTAGAGACAATCCCAGTAGGGAGTTTAGAATATGTGTGCTCCTGGCACAAGCAGCTATTTTGGTTTTCCAATTCCGTTCAGGAAGATTAAAGTCACCCATGATGATAACTTCCCCCTTCATTGTCATTTTAGCTATTTTCTCAACTAGTAGATTATCTAACTCTTTTATTTGTCCTGGGGGCCTATAAATCACACCTACACGAGTTACTGTGTGATTACCAAATTCTAAAGTAACCCAAACGGACTCTATGTTCGCATCACTAACTTTTATAAGGCTAGATTGAATGCTATCTTTCACATACAGGGCCACCCCTCCCACTTTCTTTCCTTCCCTGTCTTTGCTATATAAAGAGTACTATAGCCCTTGTTACACCTCCCCTGGCTGTAACTGACACAGCCTGCATGAAAATGTTTTTATTATTTTCAGTCAGATGTCAACTTGCTTTAGAAGGTTGTATTTCCTGCTCTGTAAATTGAACTTTAATCACACACAGACCTGCAGAGTCTAGAAGGCTATTAACAGAGTAGGAGATAAATTCTAAATTAAACAGAATGTGAAATAAAGGAAGTGCAAACATAAGATGTCTCTTCATAGGCGTGCGCAGCCTATTGCATTAGGGTGTGCACCCTAAAGCACAAACACACGCCGCGTGTGTGTGTGTGTGTATGTATATATATATATATATATATATACACACACACACACACACATACACTGCTGTGTGTGCTGTTAGTGTGATGTGTGTGTGAGGGTGCTGTTAGTGTGATGTGAGGGTGTTTGTGTGTGTGTGTATGTGTTTGTGACTGTGCTGTTTGTGTGTGAGGGTGTTTGTGTGTGTATGTTTGTCCTGTGAGGGTGCTGTTTGTGAGGGTGCTGTTAGTGTGCTGTGTGTGAGGGTGTTGTGTTTTTTTTAAAGGTGCTGTGTGTGTTTGTGAGGGTGAGGTTAGTGTACTGTGTGTGTGTGAGCTGTATGTGTGTAGGTGCTGTATGTGTGTGTGCTGTATGTTTGGAGGGATTTGGCAGATTAGTAAATCCTTGCTGCCATGTTCCATCCCTGGTGGTCCAGTGGAGAGTGAACTCTAGCCTGCGGGGCTAGAGTTAACTCTCGCGAGATCTGAGCGTTGCCGCAGCAACACTCAGATATTGCGAGAGGAACCTGGCGGAGCGTCTGTCTAGAGCTCCCTGGGTCCTCTCCTGCCTCCCTCCATGCTGCTGTGGGCCAGTGAGGTAGATCTTTGGTCTCCCCGCTGGCCCATGGAGGCTTAGAGCAGAGCCGACACTCAGATAGCGCCGGCTCTGTGTGTGTGTGTGTGTGTGTGTGTGTGTGTGTGTATATATATATATATATATATATATATATATATAATATGCGTACACACACACACACTCACAGACACATTCAGACACACACACATACATACACTCACAGACACATACATACACTCACAGACACACACACATTCACAAACACTCAGACACACAAACACTCACAGACACACAAACACTCAGACACACAAACACTCACAGACACACAAACACATACACACAAACACACATTCACACACACACACTCACAGACACTCACACACAGACACACACTCAAACACACACAGACACTCACACACACACACACAGACACTCACACACACACACAGACACTGACACACAGACACTCACACACAGACACACACTCAAACACAGACACACACACAGACACTCACACACACACACACTCACACACAGACACACACACAGACACACACAAGAACAAATTATTAAATTTTAATTTAAAAAAATTCCACCCAGCCTCCTACCTGGAGTGGACTTTTCCCTGGGGTCCAGTGGGGGCGAGCGCCGCTCTCCAGCTCAGCGCGCGGCGAGGGAGCTCTCTGCTCTCTGCTCCCTGCTCCCTCTCGCCGCGCGGGCTGTCTGCTGGAGCTGGGAGCCGGAATATGACGTCATATTCCGGCTCCCGGCATTAGCGCGCGGCGAGAGGAAGCAGAGAGCAGAGAGCAGAGAGCTCCCTCGCCGCGCGCTGAGCTGCAGGGTGGGTGGGGATCCATCACCTCTTGCCCCCCCCATGACAGGGGCAAGAGGTGAAACAGGGGGCACTGAGTGCCTGCAGGAACAGCGTTCCTGCTCAAAAAAAGTGCAGGAACGCTGTTCCTGCAGGACTCAAACCATAGGCGTGCCATGGGGATTAGGGTGTGCCCAGGCACACCCGGCACACCCCGTGCGCACGCCTATGTGTCTCTTTACAGGAAGTGTTTAGGAAGGCTGTGTAAGTCACATGCAAAGGGTGTGCCTAGGGCTGTATAAACAAAGTGATTTTCCTCCTAAATGGCAGAGAATTTAGTCTTGAGACTGCAGGGGAATGATATATACACCACAACTGCTTTATTAAGCAGAAGTTGTTTTAGTGCCTATAGTGTCCCTTAAAGTATAACATACATGTATCCTTAGCCTACTCTCCGAATATCAAGGGCTCCTTTATTGATTAATTATAGAGGGAAGTGGAAAATAATGGAAGAAACTAATAGTCCATTAGTCATTATGAATAGAAGCAGAAAGAGGTAAAATAAACATAGAAGGACAAATGGCCCTTAATACTTTGGAGAGTGAATGTGTAAATACAATAAAAAAAACTAGAGGGTCAGTAGTGGTTTTAAACTCTAGTGCCACTTAAAGGACAACTCTAGTCACCATAACAACAATCTAAATGACGTGGTTATGGTGTCAGGGGGATTTAAATGTTTTCTCAAATGGTTTAACTCCAAGGTTTGCCTCCAGCGCTGATAAACAGGTCCCTCGGGTGGCAGAAGGTAAGAGTGCACTTTCATTTAGATGAAGTTGTTATGGTGACTGGAGTGTCCCTTTAAACATAGTGGTTTCTCAATGTATCTTGAACAGTAACTATCTTGGCTTGTCACTTATTAACAAACTGGAGAAACATTTTACTTTTGTAGGGTTCAGTATAGGTCAGGACTTGTTTTGAGTTTAAAAGAACACTGTAGCACTTACCTTAAAGGACCACTATAGTGCCAGGAAAACATACTCGTTTTCCTGGCACTATAGTGCCCTGAGGGTGCCCCCACCCTCAGGGACCCCCTCCCGCCCGGCTCTGGAAAGGGGAAAGGGGTTTAAACTTACCTTTTTCCAGCGCTGGGCGGGGAGCTCTCCTCTTCTGATCCTCCTCTTCTCCTCCTCCTGGGCTGAATGCGCATGCGCGGCAGGAGCTGCGCACGCATTCAGCCCGTCGCATAGGAAAGCATTCATAATGCTTTCCTATGGACGCTTGCGTGCTCTCACTGTGAAAATCACAGTGAGAAGCACGCAAGCGCCTCTAGTGGCTGTCAATGAGACAGCCACTAGCGGCTTTAGAGGCTGGATTAACCTATTTATAAACATAGCGGTTTCTCTGAAACTGCTATGTTTATTAAAAAATGGGTTAACCCTAGAAGGACCTGGCACCCAGACCACTTCATTAAGCTGAAGTGGTCTGGGTGCCTAGAGTGGTCCTTTAAGGTAAGAGAGTGCCCTTGGGCCTCCTAGCATTATAATAACTTAATTTATATGAGGTTGTTATTTGTGTCTTTAGAGAGGGAATGGAAGAAAAGAATAGCAGTATTTTTGTTATAAAATTACCAATGTCAGGGTGATTTAGTGAGTATAATTAGGAAAATAAGATTATAGCATTTTTTTTAAATAGTAAAACACACTGCTACTAGGGAAGCAAACATGAAAAAAAAATATATATATTTTTTTTAAAAATAATTGAAAAAAATAGAAATAAATAAAATAAACACAAGCAAAAATAAAATAAAAGCCAAGTATTGGAAATAAAAAACAAAGCTTTTCATTACCAGTGCTCCATATAAATGTTTAAAATAAAAAAATATATCTGTAATGTTTTATGATAATATCCAGAGTTGTGCACATGGAAATAGAATGTACAACTTGCTGATCATGATATGGGGAAGGGTCACCCAGAAGCCAACGAGAATGTTCATTTCTCCACTCTTCCCATATCACATATGTTGACTCTCCCGCCATCTTGGTTAAAATATCTAGATTATTTCTAAATACTGGATTTTTTATTAATATTTTATTTTTGGTGTGGTTTTGAAAAATGTTTATTTATTTGTAAAGGCTAACGGTATTACTTGGGAAATTTCCACTCAAGGCCAGAATAACATTGGAGGTGGAACGTCAGTCACATATATTGCAACAGGCCTAAGCTGCTAAATTTTTAAATAAAAAATGATCTTCTTCTGTTATGAACTGCTCAATACCATATTCATATTATTTTGCTCTGGGTAACAGATGTCCTCCCTGGTCTAGTTGAGTAATATGGGGGACTCTGTCCATAACACATGACATACCAGGGGTAGCTTTAGCATTGTATATACCAATCTTTAATATTGCTTTCTTTGTGCTTGAGCCTGCTTCTGAAAGTGTTTTTTATATGCTTGAAATATGCAGTTTATAAATGCACGTGGGGATGGTTTTATTTACAGCTGCAAAGTCTCGTTGTCAGAGGAGGTTAGTGACTATTTCATACCTTGCAGATTCAAACTGTGGCCCAGATCTACTTTCTCTTCCCAAACTTAAAACTTACTGCTTTATCTTCTTTCTTTTTTTTTATTCTTTTTTTTTCTCAGAATAAGGATAAAACGTGCATTGTACACCAAGCATGTCAAACTCAAAGTGTGGCATGGGCCACATAAACAAGGTTTAAGTTTATGTGGGCCGCACACACACACATACTCACTGACAGACACACACACACACACTTGCTGACAGACACACACTTGCTGACAGACACACATACTTACTGACAGACAGACACACTCTGACAGACACACACATACTCACTGACAGACACACACACACACACACACTTGCTGACAGACACACACTTGCTGACAGACACACATACTTACTGACAGACAGACACACTCTGACAGACACACACATACTCACTGACAGACACACACACACACACACACTGACACACACATACTTGCTGACAGACACACACACACTGACACAGACACACATACTCACTGACACAGACACACATACTCACTGACAGACACACACACATCACACACTTGCTGACAGACACACACACACACACTGATACAGACACACACACATACTTGGTGACAGACACATACTTTTCATTATTGCTCCTTACCTTATGGAACCAATGGGGGCATCTCCCTGGGGTCTTTCCAGCTCGTCACTGCTCCCGCGCGGTTTAGTGATGCCGGGTGCAGAAATATGACGTCATATTCCGGCGCCCGGCTTCACTTCAGTCAGCGCGTGCAAGGGAGCAGTGAGGAGCTGGAACACTGAGCTCCCTCACGGTCCTCCTCTCAGGCTGGGTAAATGTTAACAGAGTAGGCATGGGGAAAGCAGGTGCCTGCTCTGCTATAACACTGAGCATGCACTCGCGGCTCGCCGGGCCGCAAAGACGGTCCTTGTGGGCCGCATGCGGCCCAAGGGCCGCGAGTTTGACATGCTTGATGTATACCCAGATACAGACAGTTAGTAGTGAGGCACAGTGGTTTACACTTTGAGATTTTCAGGAAGGGGGGTCCTAGATCAGAGTGAGAAATAGTACATCGTATTTAACATCATTGCATCTGGAGGTACATAACATTACTTATTTGTTCATGGGGTGAGAATGACACAGTATAAGGTTGTTTAGGAGGCATAACCAGGACCATTATGTACTGAGAGGAGAGACCTATGATAGTGGTATAGTGGTCGCATCACTCAGCTGTGCACAGGTTCTCACGTCGGTCAGGGCCATGTATCAGTTAGGTGTGGTACCCTTTCCTTGGTTTCTTCCTTTTTTCCCCCCTAATAATATCTTCTCGTTTGTTATACTTTACACCCAAAAAATGACTTGTTCAATATTACTATTAGTTCGGGCAGATCTCACCTTTCCAAAATAAAAAGCAAGTCTCCAGTCTCCTTGAGCGCAAGATTAGACATCCCAGGGTGGCTAGTCCGGGGATCTAGGAGGCAACTTCAAAAGCATTCCATGACCAAGAAGGATGTGCATATATCTCCCATATGCCCTATTGCCAATGTTCCCAAAATAAGAGACTGTTTCACTGTTTATGTTACCATTTGTGGATTTTTATGTGAAATAAACTCTTGTGCAGGTTACATATGTACACGTATTTAAAAAACACTTAATTGCAATTGCATTTTTCTCTAATGGGTGTTCACTGCTTTTAGTTGGCAGCTGATGAACACATGTTACAACTGCTGAGCTTAATGGCAAAACATTGATTGACCTTGGAAGGACTACTGCTAGTTCTGCTGGGAAAGAGGTCTATCAGGTTTATTCACTAAAGTGTAAATTGTCAGAAATGTCAAATTATAGTGCAAGATAGCCAAACTAAACCAAAACTCAATTGCAGAATTTTTCAGTGTTTCATATATTTGTATATAATGTCAAATTCTCTTTGAATACCTGACAATTCACACTTTAGCGGATAGAATGCAGTCATAACATTAAGCCAATGAGCCATCTCTTGACTGTATGCATTCCGTCACATACTGTATACATACAGATGCAATTACAACATACATTGTCTGTGTTTGACATATTATTATTATGATATTTATAGAGCGCCGTCAAATTCCGCAGCGCTTTACAATGGGACATGCAAGTATGACATAAGACATGCGAGTATGGGCATGATGGCACGAATAGGCTGAAACACAAAAACAAGATACTCTGCACACAGGTTCCGCCTGTCGTGATCCGTGTAAACCAGGGGTAGTCAACCTTTTAATACCTACCGCCCACTTTTGTATTTTTGTTAATGATAACATTTTCTTACTGCCCACCAGTGCCACAGTAACTAATTTTATAGTGCCAGTCTGTGTGAGGGGAGCAGTGCATGGGTGAAGTGCATGGGTGGGGGAGCAGTGCGTGTAAGGGGGGGGAGTGTGTGTGAGGGGGGAGTGCGTGTGAATGGTGGAAGTCTGTGTGAGGTGTGGAGTGTGTGTGAGGGGGCATTTTGTGTGACGGGCAGTCTGTGGTCTGTGTGGGGGGGCAGTCTGTATGTGTATGTGTGTGTGTGTGTGTGAGTGGGGTGTAGTGTGTGTGAGGAATGTAGTGTGACTGAGGAGTGTAGTATGTGCGAGGTTTGAAGTGTGTGTGAAGGGTGTGAAGGGTGCATAGGGTCAATGCTGTGTGTAGGTGGGTGAGATGTAAAAATCTATCTTAATGTCTCCTTCTCCCATCTTCTTACCTTTTACCAGGGAGGGGGAACATAATGCTGCAAGCCCTGGTGGGCCAGTGGTGGCATGTTCCTCCAGCTGTAGGCTGACTCTCCTGTCCTCCTGTGAGCACAGCACTGTATCAGAGTGTTGCCATGGTAACACGCGGTTATGCTCCGACCAGCCTGCTCGCAGGAGGAACACAGAGCCTCCCAGGCCCTTCCTTCCCTTTGCTGGAACTAAGTGCCAGCGGGCAAATTTGGGAGATCTTTGATCTCCTCACCAGCCGGAGAGGACTTATAGCAAGGCTATGCATGGGCCGGCAGGGGAGATGAAAGGATCTCCCCTGCTAGCCTTGGTCCACGGCCATGAGGCTCACTGGTCATTTTCTGCAGAACCCACTACCACCACTAGTGGGCGGTAGGGACCAGGTTGACTACCCCTGGTGTAAACACTCACTGCAGATTCGCAGGTGCTAGAAAGAGTAGACGACATAGGCTATGCGCCGAGATTCAGATTGTGTAAGTTTGAAGTTTTTAAAATTTCAAGCGGCAAAAAACATACATAGATTGCACCCTCTTCTTAGAAAACTACATATATATATATATATATATATATATATATATATATATAAAATGGTTGTTATTATTTTTTTGGTATATATACAGAAGGGTGTATATACCAAAAACAAATGGCATAAATATATATATAAGATGCCAAAATCTCAGAGTATTGCCGTATGCAATGATACTTTTTTTATTGGACTAACATAACATTTCAAAGACAAACTTTCAAGAGTTTTCCAATCTTGCAGTATTGCTTCAGACCTGATCCTAATACTGCAATAGTCTGGTAGTTTGGCAATACTGCTAATCCAATCTTCACACACACACACACACACACACACACATATATATATATATATATATAAAGAAGGATTTATATACTAAAAAAATAGTAAGAACGATTTTAATAGAATGTTATTTAAAGTGTATATAATGTATTTAGCAAATGACATCACAATCCTGTTCTCCCCTGGCACAGTCAGGGCACAAAGTGTATTCTAGGAGGTGAAAATGATTGTTTCTTTTTCTCCTTATCCCCGTACTATATTTAATGACATTAAAGGGCAGATCTTATAAAAATGATTAAATCAAGATGGAGGAGCTCCACTTGGGAATTGCATTAAATACAACAGTGTGGATTTGTACATTTCGTTTTATTTTCCAGACATCACGATATTTAGTAGAAACAAGTGACTGCAAAAAAAAACGACAAACATACTGGTCTAAGGTTGTGTTAAGATTTTACTGTTACTTTAACATATTGTGTTATACATTATCCAATATGAATAACAATTTCTTTGCATATTGTCTTTTCTAATGTTTGATCCTAAAGGTATGTCATTAAAGGAATGGTTAGAGTAAATATAGACATTATGGGTCGATGCGTGTATATAAATGTAACCTTTAATTTGAAATGAACAAGCTCAATTTTTATATGAAAATAGCATGCATATTCAGATTGTGTGACTCCTTAGTAAACAAATAATTTAGTAACACTAACAATAAACCTATAGCATACAGAACACAGCTACCACGTCAACAAAATCCTTGGAATGCTCAAATATTGCCTTTCTATTTGACATACTAAATATCACTGACACAAAAATCCACATAGTGTTTATGGTTTACTGTCCATGGTGAGCTGACATTTTATGCTTCGTCATATAGAAGAGTGAATAAAAATCCAAACGTTTAATACATTTCAATCTGCTTATAGCAAAATTCAAGTTTCTAATAATGATCACAAAAATCTGCATAATATTTATGAACAACCTGCTCCATAGAAAGTTGTATGTATATATAGGCCCTGAACTCAACTTCAGTTGGCACGTATAATTACGATTGTCATCATATGTTGCGATAGAGGCGTACCAATCTGAAGATTTCAGTGTTATAATTTTATTCTTCTTAGTTTTCTTTGGATGTTGTTTTTTTTTGTTTTTTTTATTACAGCTTGAAAGTTCCATATTTATTTCTGATGAGACACTCTTCAAAGTAGGGTTGAATCCAATGAAGCACTATCTCCAAATTCCTGATTTCCAACCACAGTGGTCATAAACTTGGACTTTAGTGTTAACTGGCTGTCTCTGGTTTGCCCCTCACTGTTCAGTGTCTGGAAGTGAACTGTTCTCTCTTTCCTAGGTTTCCTTTCTAAGCCTCCTTCTAACTTGTGAGTTTTAGAAGAGGTATGACTCTCCCTGCTACTTGCAATTGGTCCACTTGCAGCTGGGCTTCGTATATCACTTGGTGCACAATGTGTATTGAGATGATCTGACATGTGCCCAGGTACTTGGGTACAGACAGAATTTGGTGATCTATGGCAATCTGATTTGTGATGAGCTGAGCCTTCTTGTTTTCCTGCAGGACAATACCGAGTTTCCTCTGCAGGATTTAGGAAATTACTTCCAAATCCCTTTGGAAGTGAGGACCTTTTGGATGGAAGTGGGGGTACAGTATAGTCACTTTGCTGGAATCTATTACCTGGATCATCTTTAGGTCGAAGCATGGAATTCATCGAACTATTAGGAGAACTTTTTTCAGAACTGTGTACGTTGCCTTCATTTACTGAAGGATGGAATGGTTGTTTAGAATTGAGTCTTGGAAAGTCAAAATCCTTTGAAAATTGGAAGTCAGTTCGTGTAGTATGACTAATTGATGGAAGATCAGGAATGGATATTGCCCCTATGTTTTTGATATGGGTAAAAGGAAATTGTTCGGGGGATGAGGTCAAACCTAAAAGTGTGTCTAGTATGTTTTGAGCAGATAGGTAGTCCAAAGCAGCATCCGGAGATGGAATCTGAGCACAACTAAAATGAAGGTCATCCCCAGAGCTTTCAGAGCTACTGGGCCTGATGTGATGTTTATGATGTGGAAGACGGTGAGTGGGAAGAAGGTTCTGGAATGGCAAAGTTGATTTTGTAGACACAGATATCCTCTTTTCTGCAGTGGTTTCAGCAGCCTATGGATGGGAAAAAATAGTTATAATTTTCTAAATAAAAATTCTAAATACAAGTTCCTGTTTTAGAATACAAAAACTTTAAGAGCTATCTGTTCCTTATGAACTATCTGACTTTTTACCTGAGTTGCTTTAGACACCACTTCCCACCTCCTCTCAGGAAAATTGTAACCTCCTGTGTTGGAGCTTCCATTAGCTCTCCTGAGCTAAACCTTGAACCCAGTTTGACTTATTACATTGGAAAGTACCAGGGCACTCCTGCAGTGGATATGGTGTTTGGAGTGTTCCTTTAAATATATTTCAACCCTCCCACTCAGTTAAGTGACCAGAATCTATCTCTCGGGTACTTATCATATGCTGTATTTAACTTCCTTTGCAATACTTTGCATGTGTTAACATTCATAGCTCTGCCATTTAACATAATGCATCTACAATATTATTTAACTCCATCTCTTTCTTCACCTGTTAAAATGAATTCCCTCTATTGTTTTATCTTCTTATACCTATACTACATATATCTTCATTTTGTCACAAACACCTTATTCCATTCATCTTCTCACATATGTCAGTCAAGCTTTAGCATTCCAGCTGTGATTGGATGCAGTCTCCATTAGACAGTACTTTTGTCTGTGGACAATGCCAGCTGTAATTTGAGGTATCTGAAGTGATAGGACAGTAGTTCTTAAAGGGGCACTGTAGTGGTCATTCATGGTGCCAGCAAACCTTGGAGCTGTCCCAATGTCTGTGTCAAACCTTTTTGCGGTAAGTTGACGCAAACCCAAGATATCCCACAAGCAACTGTATCGTGTACTGTAGTTGCTATGTTGCTTATCATGGACCTTTAACCTTTTTTGACAGGGGCCTTAATTACATAAATGCCATTAGGCTGACAACCAAATGAAAATGTTAATAAACACTTTATATGCAAAAATGACCTCTTTGACCTATTCTTCAAAAACCAACTTCAAAAAGGTGATCCTTTCTTTAACCCCTTAAGGACCAAACTTCTGGAATAAAAGGGAATCATGACATGTCACAAATCTTACCATGTCACAAATCTTACCTTTCTCCAGCGCCGGGCAGGGAGCTCACCTCCTCCATAGCAACGTCATCAGCTGAATGCGCATGCGCGTCAGGAGCCGCGCACGCATTCAGCCAGTTCATAGGAAAGCATTCTCAATGCTTTCCTATGGACGCTGGCGTCTTCTCACTGTGATTTTCACAGTGAGAAGCACGCAAGCGCCTCTAGCGGCTAACTGGAGGCTGGATTAACCATATTATAAACATAGCAGTTTCCCTGAAACTACTATGTTTATAAAAAACAGGGTTAATCCTAGATGGACCTGGCACCCAGACCACTTCATTAAGCTGAAGTAGTCTGGGTGCCTATAGTGGTGCTTGACGTTTTAGCCATACAACGCCTTTATCAAATCTCCATTGTTAAAGGCCTTGTTTGTCACCCATTCACCCATTCATCTGGCACTTTAAATAAAGGATCATCTTATTGAAGTTAGGATTTTGCTGGACTTTTTTTCCTACAATTGCTTGTGGCCATTGGCAAAGCCACTCATTGTGCGTCCCAGGTGGATTTGGGTCTTCACAATTAAATTAAAAATAATTCTACAGACACTTTTTCTTCCCAGTCTCTCAGGAAGGAAGAGCTAATACAGTCACCTTTGTAATGCTGTCAGTTAAGTGAGACATGTTTATTTCAACCAAAAGTAAAATAACTTGCAGATCCAAGTTTGGGTCCTATCCATGGGATTAAGAACCACTGTGCGAGATGATGACTTTTCTTAATTCTGTATCAGTCATGCTTTCAAACTTTTTGTTCTTTTGCCCTCACAAAACTTTCTTTCTAGCCAACATTAACTGAAGCAAACCAATCTTACATCCAAGCTTCCTCCATCCTTTCGATCATCAGAAAAACTTTCTCCCAGGTTCGGGAATCGAGGGCAGAGGAATTTGCATGTAGGAAGGAAATCTTCTAAGCTGCACTCGCTCTCAGTAGAAGTATATAATGTGTGAAGAGCAGGGAAAGATTTCTGCTTTTTAGGACTCCATGGGGTAAAAGCAGTGGGCCGTGGTACTATGGATGCTTTAGCCATATTGTTTGTTGTAGTATACGTTGAATCACCACCTTCAGTATCTGGGAAATGCGTTTCAGCAGAGATGCCAGTTGATGTATTGGGGTCCTTCAAGCCTTCAGTCTGGCTGCTAACATCAAGTGGTAGAGGCGAAGCCTTCGCAGACTCCAACATATCTGGTGGAAGATGGTGAAGCAAGGAGGATACCTGGAAAATAGCAAGCAACAGTTTCTCTAACTCTTATCTAATTTTTTCTTTCTCGTAATTCATCTCTTTCTGTAAGATGCCAAAACATACTCATTATTATGGTTTTTAGACGAACATTGGAATTAAGGATATTTCCGTATCCAAGTTCTCAACATATACTTTATTGGTGGTTTTGTCCATTTTTCCTTAGTAAGTTGCACCTTGAAAAGTGTTTGTTTCAAGTATTTTTCAATCAGAAAATGTAGCAAACACTGGGAGAGATGTTTTATATGCTATTTATTTACACTTTCATTTTATTGTGGACTATGTTATTTGTCCAACATTTTCTATGATAAGAAAATTAAACATAAGGGACCTGCCAACTGTAAATACTGTTGATTTAGCTAGGCCGGTAAAATTACACTTGATAAAGTCTCTATGAATACAATAAGAAGCATCAGTGGTCTGCTTTCCTAAGGTATAACAGAAAAAAGAAAATCATCAAAAAAAAAAAAAGGGATGCAATAACAACAAGGAGATTGTAGCTTATAAACCCAGACCCCCACCTCTTGTTTTCAGATTTGACATTAAAATGATGGGATCTCAGTTATCTGGCAAAGTTCTGTATTGGTTCAAATGGTACCAGGTCACTATCTAGGTTGGCTATAAAAAAAACCCCAAAAAACGCACATATAGTGTCTCATGATAGTTTCATTATTTCGAAACAGCTTGTCACTCCATAATATTCAGGCAGTGTTTAATGGAACTAGATAATTAAATCCTAACCTGATTTTTAATTGTCTACACAATAAATACAAAGTAAATTGTCCCAACACAAGCTAGAAACAGGACTCAAGGGAGGACATCTTGAAAAACCGAAAGAGGTTAAGAGGGGATATTGTGGATCTTACGTTTAGTTTCTCTAGGGCGCAGATAGTGCTTTGGGCCCGTACTAGATGGTCAAGGAGCTCTGTGATCTTCTTGTTCAGAGAATCCTTGTCGGTCTCCGATTTCTCATTTTGAGTCTAAGTAGACATGAAGAACCATAGGAAATGGAGCAAAGAAAGATAAGTATGTGTTTATCTTTCGGCTAATAAAAATCAGAAAGTGTTTTGTACTTTGTACAGATAAGAATGACATAAAATGTTATAAAAACTAAGGCTCAATGTAGTGTTAGATAATTCCTTTTAGAGGGTGAGAATATGTAAAAAGATGCAGTATAGCACAGTTACCTATGAGCAGAGATTAAACAACAGTTATTGTGTATACTTGTTACTAGGGTTCATATAAAGTAGAAAAAAGACTATGAGGGTAAAGGTCAGACATATTTCATTAGAAAAAAAAAAGATCTGCAGCATGGGAGAGGATGGTGATTTTATACGAAATGTCATTTTGGTTTTCAGGAGTTGGCATAGATGCATATGATGATATATAGAATATAGCACAAACTCAAAAAGGATCAGGCTAACTACATGATAAGTTACTTCAGCTCACATATGGTTATATTGATGCAAAAACTTACATCAGGATGACATTTATTCTCTTGTTGTCCGTAAATCGATTTGCTACCAGGACAGCTTTCCTTAGTCCTGGGGGAGAGAATCACAGGAATTGACCCATTAAAATAAATATGACAAGTCATTCGGTCGCTTTGCTGCTGAAAGAGGAAATGTCACTACCCAGAATTTTGAATATTATTGAATATTTAAATAACATATTTCATACTTCTTAATTCAGGGGTATTCAAATAGAATCCAAATATATAGAATCTCTAATCTGGAAATAAAACAAACTTAAGTGTTTATATGGTAGAGCCCCCTGGTTGGCTCAGAATAATGTGAGTTGATAATTGTTAGCTCTATTTAGTAAATTCTGCACTATCATATATTGTCTCTCTCTCTCTCTCTCTCTCTCTAATTCTACGACTGAAACCATCTGCCTGGCTGGAAGACAACCCTTGTATTGGATTCATCACTGTTACTGAGAGCCCAGAATTGTCTCTTTTCTGTGAGTGTGGCATTTGCATTCAATATTTTTTGTCAAATTATTGTGACTCTTACACTATGTTTTGTTTTGTTTCATTTTTTATATATTTGGAGTTCTATTTGAATACCTATGGAATGAAGAAAGCGCCTGTCTCATAAGACATTGTACCGTATTATTGAAGTATTTTAAAAAAATATTTTTGGAGGCACAAATTTTTTTTGTGTGTGTGAATTGTGATTGGTGATTTGAAATATTTCATTTTGGTTTTCTCTTTTTGCATTGGTACACTTCTATCTATTTTTAATACCACGTTTACTTATCTTTATATTTAACGAATATGTATTTGTGAGTTGTGAAAAATTAAATTAAATTTAGAATGTGAACAGTGGAATGGCTGGTAAATTTACAGATTATTTGGTTAATAATACACTTACAACTGATTGCTCACAAGCTTTAAGCAGTTGCCATTGGGAAAAACGTGTACCTTACCTGCATTCATACTGACATATCTAGAAACCAAAGCATTATGGGAAAGATTCCGGGGCGAGGAACAAGCATACAAGGAACATCTATGCGTCTCTAGGGCAGTGATGGCGAACCTTTTTGAGCCCGAGTGCACAAACCTCAATACATGCCAACTTTTTTTTTCTCAAAATGCCAACACGGCAATTAAATCTGAATACTGAGGTTTAAGTTTAGAAAAAATAACTCGTACAGTTGTCCAAACTAATTAACAACTTTTGTTTTAAAAGAACACAGCAACAGAGAGTTCAATGATACAAATTTTAAATAATGGATAAAATTAAGCTTATATTTATTAGTATCTCCAACAAATGCAATACATACACACACAGACTGCTGAATACATAGACTGCTGAATACACACACACACACACAGTCTGCTGAATACACATACAGACTGCTGAGTACATACACGCAGACTGCTGAATACATACACACAGACTGCTGAATACTTACACACACACAGTCTGCTGAATATACACACACAGTCCACTGAATACACACACTGCTGAGTACACACAGACTGCTGAATATATACACACAGACTGCTGAATACACGTTCACAGAGACTGCTGAATACACATACACACACAGTCTGCTGTACACATACACAGACTGCTGAATACACACACACAGGCTGCTGAGTACACAGGCTGCTGAGTACACACAGTCTGCTGAATACATACACACAGTCCGCTGAATACACACACACAGACTGCTGAATACACACACTGCTGAGTACACACAGACTGCTGAATACATACACACAGACTGCTGAATACACACACACAGACTGCTGAATACACGCACACACAGACTGCTGAATACACACACATACAGACTGCTGTATACACACATACTGCCTTGAGGTGTGCAGTGTATGTGTTTGTGTGTGGCGTGCTGTGTGTGTGGTGTGCTCTGTGTGAGGGGTACTGTGTGTCTGAGGGGTGCTGTGTGTGTCTGTGTGAGGGGTGCTGTGTGTGTGTTTGAGGTGTGCTGTGTGTGTGTGTTTATGTGAGGCGTGCTGTGCTGTGTGGGGAGGTAGGGGTGCTGTGCTGCGTGGGGAGGTAGGGGTGCTGTGCTGTGTGGAGGGTAGGGGTGCTGGGCATGGGGTAAGGGTGCTTTGCTGTGTGGGGGTAGGGGTGCTGTGCTGTGAGGGGTAGGGGTGCTGTTTGTGTGTTGGGTAGGGGTATTGTGTGTGTGGTGGGGGTAGTGGTGCTGTGTGTGTGGGGAGGTAGGGGTGCTGTGCTGCGTGGGGAGGTAGGGGTGCTGTGCTGCATGTGGGGTAGGGGTGCTGGGCGGGGGTAAGGGTGCTGTGCTGTGTGGGGGTAGGGGTGCTGTGCTGTGGGGGGTAGGGGTGCTGTGTGTGTTGGGGTAGGGGTGCTGTGCTGCATGTGGGGTAGAGGCTGAATACACACACACAGGCTGATGAGTACACAGGCTGCTGAGTACACACAGTCTGCTGAATACATACACACAGTCCGCTGAATACACACACACAGTCCACTGAATACACACACTGCTGAGTACACACAGACTGCTGAATACATACACACAGACTGCTGAATACACACGCACAGACTGCTGAATACACGCACACACAGACTGCTGAATACACACACATACAGACTGCTGAATACACACATACTGCCTTGAGGGGTGCAGTGTATGTGTTTGTGTGTGGGGTGCTGTGTGTGTGTTTGAGGTGTGCTGTGTGTGTGTTTATGTGAGGGGTGCTGTGCTGTGTGGGGAGGCAGGGGTGCCGTGCTGCGTGGGGAGGTAGGGGTGCTGTGCTGTGTGGAGGGTAGGGGTGCTGTGCTGTGAGGGGTAGGGGTGCTGTGTGTGTGTTGGGGCAGAGGTGTTGTGTGTGTGGTGGGGGTAGTGGTGCTGTGTGTGTGGGGAGGTAGAGGTGCTGTGCTGCGTGGGGAGGTAGGGGTGCTGTGCTGCATGTGGGGTAAGGGTGCTGGGCGGGGGTAAGGGTGCTGTGCTGTGGGGTAGGGGTGCTGTGCTGTGGGGGTAGGGGTGCTGTGTGTGTTGTTGGGTAGGGGTGCTGTGCTGCATGTGGGGTAGAGGTGCTGGGCAGGAGTAAGGGTGCTGTGCTGTGTGGGGGTAGGGGTGCTCTGTGTGTGTTGGGGGTAGGGGTACTGTGTGTGTGTGTGTTGGGGTAGGGGTGCTGTGTGTGGGGGGTAGGGGTACTGTGTGTGGTAGGTAGGGGTGCTGTGTGTGGGGGGGTAGGGGTGCTGTGTGGTGGGATGTGGAGTTAAAAAAAAAGGTATATTAAGTCTGTATCCCCCCCTTCCTCCCTCCTTCTTACCTTTGATGAAGGAGGGGGGACACAACCCTCCCTGGTGGTCCGGTGGTGGTTAGTACAGTAGGGAGCGGCTCTCCTGTCCTCCCTCCCGCCTGCGCGATGATGTGTGGAGCATTGCCATGGTACCGCGCGGCAACGCTCTACACAGATTGCTCGCGGGAGGACAGGGGAGCTGTTTCCTAGAGCACTCCCCCTGCCTCCTGACATGGAAGCAGAGTAGGCGCCTGCCGTTTTGGGAAGGCAGGTGCCTACTCTGCATTGTTGGTGAACATATGGCCGCGTGCCCACAGAGAGGGCCTGGCGTGCCACCTGTGTCACGCGTACCATAGGTTCGCCATCACTGCTCTAGGGTATATTGATTATACTAGAATTGTAGCAAAGAGAAAACTGAATTTCTAAATTTTGGCTAAAACCAGGGTGTGTATCAGCTGTAGTTGAGTTTGTGATTTTCTTTTCCAAATAGTTTTTTTTAACCTAAATTTTGCAGTTAGATTTTCAATTTAATATATATGATAATGGATGGCTAGTGAATAGCCCCCTATGTTTTTTGTATCTCAGGCATTTATTTTTATATCTGCAAATCTGTACATTTATTGGGCTGTTGGATAACAATGTATACGTAGAGCTATTTGTCGATGTTACTTTATCATGTTCTGCTGGACAAAATACCCTTCAGCCAATTAAGAGTTTTCAGTACCTAGCTCAATGTCGTCCTACAAAAAAGTTGCATCTAACCCATTAAACACATCACTGTAATTAGGTCACTTTGCTCTGAAATCTCCCTATCTGCTCACGCTCAATACTACTTTTTTAAAATCCGTTTCCTGATAGGTTATTGATCCATTTTCTACAGTGTGTTACACCTTATTCTAGTCATGGAGTCATCTATAAAACAATGATACTATTTTAAAAAAAAATTTTTTAATTCTTTATTTTCATTGACAGAGGTTACATGTACATAACAGATGTAGCTGTAAACACAGTGTAAATCTCTATATGCATGTATACAGTAAAACGTACAACAAATTTAAAGCATTAAATTACCCATATTTATATCTTAGCGCCCCTGGCTGATGCACTCTACTAGGGGTGATTCTCCTTTCCGTGTTATTCACTCAATCAAGTTACCTCTAGTCAACATCTTTGTTTTTTCTAAGAGATTAACAGCACTTCTTATATTCTGGTCAACTTAACTAACCTGGTACAGCCTTGTAGGTGTGATTCTCACTGACTGGTATACCCCTTTTAGCTTGCCTGTGATCTGTGTCATACGATATTTGTCGTAGAGAATTGGGGATACCGCGTCTCTTTTCCTATTCTTGGGGTCACTTTTGCCCGATATTTTTCAAGTTTTGGGTTTAGATGCCTGATGGCTTAGTTAGTGTGAGATAACGGTTTCTTCCTTAGGGGCTCTTCTAAGTTACCTACAATTTGCACATCTCTTTCGTAAACCAGTACTCTGTTGGTTCCACCCCCTGAAGCCTCAGGAGGAGGGGGGGTAACCGTTATTAATCTTGAGAAAAAGGACAGTAAGAAAGAATAGAAAAGTATGAGAAAAGAGAAAGAAAAAGGAGAGAGAGAGGTGGTGGTGGTACGTAGGGCCGTCGGGTTTTTGTGCTCTGTTGTCCTGTCTTGTGGGGAAAGGGGGCATTCTGCTCCTCGGCATAGGGGACTTTCCTCCTACATTGCCCATATTTTCTGAAATGTTTTTCGGGTTCCCCTGATTCTTGCAGTGAGGTCATCCATTAGGTGGACTTCCCGTATCCTGTTAAGGACCCCTGCTATAGACGGGGTGTTAGGTTTAAGCCAATCTGAGGCCACCGCTCTCCTAGCTGCGAGTGTTATCTTGTGTAGAAGTTTCTGTTCGTGTCTAGTCCATCCGTCTGTGGTCCTGCTCAAGAGGTATAACCACAGGTCTAGAGGAGGAGCCCTATTTAGTACCTGAGCTATCAAATCCCTAACCTTTTGCCAAAATTGCGCTATCTGTGGACACTCCCACTACATTCCCTTCATACCGCACCCTCTCCAGCATACATCTGTTGGTGTCTATTTCATGTGGTATAGCCTGACAGGAGTTGTGTACCATCGGAGCATTGTTTTAACAACCTTTTCCTGTAATGTAACGCATATAGAGGCTGTATGGTTGGCTTCCCATATCTCCTGCCATTCTATTCCCTCCAGTTCCTCTCCTAGGTCCCTCTCCCACTGTTCCGTGTAGGTCAGTCCCCCCATTCTTTAGTTACTGAGCAGAGGTGAGCATATAAAGTCGTTATCAAGCCTGTAGGTATATTTTCCTGTATGCACATACGTTTGAAAAATGTTAGGGGTTTTTGTGCAGCCGACCGAACATGTGTAAGTTTTATGAAATCTTTTATTCGAATATATCTAAAACAATCTGCAGGTGTGAGATGCCCCCTTTGCTGTAGGGCATCAAACGAAACTACCTCAGTACCCTGCACTATCTGACATATGCGTTGAAGCCCTATTCTTTCCACAATGATACTATTTAACACTGCAGTTCAAGCAGTTTGGTACATATGAATCATTAGGAAGAAGACCAGGCATTACTTCAGTTCTTGAAAGTGTTTTTGTCAAAGTGTAAAAACGTTATGGTATTTCTTTTCTGATGATTAAAGGGGCACTTTAAGCACCAGACCTACTCCACTGTAATGCAGTGGTCTTGGAGCCTAGATGCTTTTCCTTCAGTCTGACACATGCAATCATTGTCTGTTCTGATAAACAGCAATATTTATATTATACAGTCAGTGTGCCTCTAATGGTTCTAATGGCTGTCTGATATTCACCACAGACAAGCATTATAACGCTGGAGGAGAACCCTATTGGTACAGCTGGGCAATTACAGTGCATGCACAGAAGGGCCCTTAATGCAACTCTATGGAGAAGCATTTGATTGACTCAAGAGTATCCATCCAGATGATCTCAGAAGAAGGGAAAGCAACAAGCATGGCAAAACCAGGATGCTACTGGATGAAAAGTGAGTTTAATGTTATTTTACCTTGAAAATGAAAAATAATAAAGTTAAACTCTATCTAAAGGCACCAGGAATATATTTATATTGTTAGAGTGTTCATTTAATAATGTATTTGCTGAGGAATCTTTAGGAGCAGAAGTATCCACAATGCATTGTGAATTTCCAAAATGAGGTGGAAATAGCCAAACAGAATTTCCAATATGAGAGGGAACAGAAAACAAAGTTGACTTGGAGAATTATTCCAATTCAACTACACCGGTCTAAAAATTGAAATTCAGTATGAAATTACTTTGAATTCCTGACAAGTCACATATTAGTCAATAGCCACAATATTTTCACCATCGCACATTGTTCCAGTGGTTAACTGACCCTGTCTAACACATTCCCTTACCTCTTTAAGTACATTGCTATTAATTAGACCAGGCTTCTTACCTTCTGGAACGGTCTGGGACATTATCGTTGTTCACTGAAGGCAGCGCTGTGACATTTTCCCCCCTGTCTCGCCACCAGTCTGGAGGGGGTATGATTGATGCTTGGGAAGTCAGTTCATTGGACAACTCACTAATAAAAATCCAGGAAGAGACATATAGAGAAGAATACGGAATTATATGTGTCAAATTCATACCAACACCTGGTGAGGGATGTTTGCAGAGATAGGTGAAGAGGTAAAAAGAAAAGCGACAAATAGACCATCACTAACCCACCTGGAACAATTTAACGGAAGGCATAGAAATGATTGTAAATAAATGATTCATATGATAACTCACCAGTTTGGGGATTTATCAACATACGAATCCTGAGGGGAAAAATCAAAAAGCAAGTTAATAGACACAGATACACAGCCTTTCCACACTCACTCTGTCACGGTCACCGTGCCAGAGTTAAACCCCTACTTTCACCCTGTCACCGATATACTTCTACAGTCATCCTGTCACAGGCACCCCGTGATAGACAGTCATAGACACATAGAATGTGTTGGCAAATTAGAACCATTTGGCCCATCTAGTCTGCCCAATTTTCTAAATACTCTCATTAGTCCCTGGCCTTATCTTATAGTTATGCCTATCCCACGCATGCTTGAACTCCTTTACTGTGTTAACCTCTACCACTTCAACTGGAAGGCTATTCCATGCATCCACTACCCTCTCAGTAAAGTAATACTTCCTGATATTATTTTTAAACCTTTGCCCCTCTAATTTAAGACTATGTCCTCTTGTTGTGGTAGTTTTTCTTCTTTTAAATATAGTCTCCTCCTTTACTGTGTTGATTCCCTTTATGTATTTATATGTTTCTATCATATCCCCCCTATCTCGTCTTTCCTCCAAGCTATACATGTTAAGATTTTTTAACCTTTCCTTGTAAGTTTTATCCTGTAATCCATGAACCAGTTTAGTAGCCCTTCTCTGAACTCTCTCTAAAGTATCAATATCCTTCTGGAGATACGGTCTCCAGTACTGTGTACAATACTCCAAGTGAGGTCTCACCACTTCCCTCTTTCTACTGCTAATACCTCTCCCTATACAACCAAGCATTCTGCTAGCATTTCATGCTGCTCTATTACATTGGCTGCCTACCTTTAAGTCATCTGAAATAATTACCCCTAAATCCCTTTTCTCAGATGTTGAGGTTAGGACTTTATCAAATATTCTATACTCTGCTCTTGGGTTTTTACATCCAAGATGCATTATATTGCACTTATCCACATTAAATGTCAGCTGCCACAGCTCTGACCATTTTTCTAGTTTACCTAAATTATTTGCCATTTGACTTATCCCTCCTTGAATATCAACCCTGTTGCATATCTTAGTATCCTCAGCAAAAAGACATACCTTACCATCAAGACCTTCTGCAATATCACTAATAAAAATATTAAAGAGAATGGGTCCAAGTACAGATCCCTGAGATAACCCGTTGGTAACAAGACCATACTTCGAATATACTCCATTGACTACAACCCTCTGTTGCCTGTCACTCAGCCACTGCCTTACCCATTCAACAACATTGTAATCCAAACTTAAAGATTGCAGTTTATAGATAAGCCTTCTATGTGCAACAGTGTCAAAAGCCTTACTGAAATCTAGGTAGGTAATGTCTACTGTACCATCCTGATCTATTAGTTTAGTTGCCCAATCAAAAAAATCAATGAGATTAGTTAGGCATAATCTCTCTGAAGTAAACCCATGTTGTCTCTGATCTTGAAATCCATGTGATTTTAAATGTTCAACAATCCTATCCTTTAACCTGGTTTCCATTACTTTACCCACTACTGAAGTAAGGCTTACTGGCCTATAGTTGCCTGACTCCACCCCCTACTACCTTTCTTGTGAATGGGCAAAACATTTGCTAACTTCCAATGTTCTGGGACTATTCCTGTTAACAATGATTGGTTAAATAAATCCGTTAATGGTTTTGGTGTACTAGCTCACTCACTCAGTCACTCTATATGCACAAACACTCACCCCCCGCAGACAGTCACCCAATATGGTCATCTATGTACGTCCACGATTTTCACTTACAGTCACAGTCACCCGACCCAAACACGCAACACAGCTTTGCCAAAAACACAACACACACAGCAAGGTTTCAGGCACTAAATCAATTCTGTTTGACTATTGAATTTACTATTGGATTGGCCAGAACACTGCTCAGGAATGATAATGACAAATATTTTTTTATGATGCACTTTCTACAATGGAAGCATGTTTATGTGGAAGTGCAGTGTTGAGGGAGGTGACGTCCCTGACAGTGCGTATATCCTATGGTGTGTTTAGCTTACCCATCCTTGTATTATTACTTTTCCAGTTGCACAATCTTCATTACGCTCCCTTTCCATCTGGTCAAATCTACTTTTGCTCTTTACTTCCCTTCCCTGTAAACCTCTGTGTGAGTCGCAGACTTTACTTTTTCTTGGTGGTGATTTTGAGGCAGATGGGGCAGGACTTCGGTCCATCCTAACTCTATTCCAGGCTGTGGATGAGGCAGAGTCAGGACTAGTACTCATTTCCCTGCTTCTTCGTGACCTAGGTGTGTCCACACCAACCTTTGGTCTAGTTGAAGTCTCTACTTTTCCCTTTCCTTTCCTCCTTGGCTCTTGATGCTCAGTAGCAGCAGTATGCTGGCTTATTTTCCCTCTGGATCCAGAGCTGTCTGTGCTCGAATTCTTCCATGGCTCTCGTGCACCAGCAGCTTTCCCTTCCTTTACCCCCAAGGAATTAAGATTTGATGGACTCAAAACTTGTATTGTTATTTCATCAAGGAATCGAGAGAACCGTTTCTTCTGCTCAATAACCTTAGTTTTCTCCTTTCCTTGTTTTTTCCCTGTTTCTTTTTGTGCCAGAGTTTCCATAGATTTGGCTCGTCGACCCCCGTCTTTTAAGATTTTTTTATCTTCTCTTACCCGGTTATCAGTAGGCTCCAAGTGTTTTACATGTTCCGAATGACTCTTCTTTTTCAAAGACCCAACTCTGTTGAGTCTTGTAGAAGACGTGCCTTTATTATCTCTTTCAAGTGCCTTCAAATCTAAAGAGGCTTTTTGTTTCACATCCAAATCCCTCTTTTCATAATCATTTTTCCTCATTCTGCCTACAGTGAGATCGTTGCAAGAGCGCGAATGGGGAGCACGAGAATGGTACCCTGAAAATCTTGCTTGGCCCTCAAAGTTTGATTCTGATGACCATTGTGATGAAGACGATGAAGGTGAGGAAGAGGAGAAAGATTCTACATTGTATGGATCTTGCATTCCATTCCAGCTTGATCTTTCTTTTCTTTCCTCTTTGGCTAATCTACCAGAAGCAGAGTGGGGCAAAGGAGTGAAGAACTTCTCCATAACCTCTAGCTTTCCAGCTGCTACTTCCAAGCTACCTTGATCCTCCCAAGAAGTCTTTGTTTCTGACAGTCGGATTATTCTGGATTCTCTTTGTGTGTTCATTATCTCAGAATGTCCTCTGATTTCACTGTGCCATCAACAACAAAAAATATCCAGAAATATTCCTCCTCCAGTTGGAAGGTTTTTTTTCAGTTGAGGGAATACAACAGCATTGACGTAGAGAATGAGATCAGGACAATTGGATCGAATATATACCCTGATACTGATTGAAAACTATTGACTGATTCAGTTAATAAAGCTCAGGGCAGAGCTAATCCAAAAAAGAAATCCATTATACTATACACAACAGACAGGAAATGCAACTGGCCACGAATATCCTGTGTGACATTTAATCAATCCTCCAACAAAGCATAAACTTGTTCACAGTCTGGTTATGTAATGCCTCAGATGTGCTCTATATGATTGAACTTCCAGTCATACTTTCTTTGTATAATGTAGGACCTTATATAAATTATATAGTGCAGGGGTAGTCAATATACCTACTGCCCACTAATGCTTCTTTCTTGGTGAAAAAATGTCCTTACTGCCCACTAGTTTTCCATAAAAATTTTTAGCGCAAGTGCGGAATATTTTTTAGAAAGGGGGTGTTTAAATTTTTATTTTATTTTTTTTATTTTTGCAGTGCACGAAAATGATACAGGCAGGTCTGAGGTGCCCCAAAAGCAGTCCTCAGGCACTTTCCTCCGCTCTACATATGTTTATCAGGCACATTTTTCATATATATAAGCATGCTTAGTGATTTAGGTCATTCTTTAGGCTAACCAGGGTTAACAACAAGTATAGCTCGATGCTAGTGAAAGTAGCTAGGTCATATACTATGTTTTGTGTGGTGGTGTTGCTTATCCAGGAGTACTCCCGGGTTGCTCACCCGAGAAGGCAGGATACATGTTACAAGTACAGGCAGAGTGGGGGAACATATAATTAACACCATAGATTAAGACATTTCTATTGCAGGTTATGCATGAGTGAAGGTTGGTTAACGATTTCTGCATTTTTAAGGTGCCATTAATGCTAGAAATTATATGTGTTAAAATGAAAAAGATCTGTGCGGTAAGCTATATTCAAAGGCTCAGTATATAAACTTAAACATGCTAAGGCCAGGCAGCAATCTACAAGTATAATATCACCCTGGCTGATCAAAAGTTTGTAAGTCTGCACACGCTTCAGGAACCGTCGGCATGGTGGGCCCGATGCTTCGCGGGTGGTAGTGGACACGTGGTCGGCCAATGCCTGCTCCGCCGTGTCGGCGCGACCCAGTGTTATTGTCCTTTAAGGCTGAGGTTCTAGCGATGTCTCTCCAGGTGCGTCTCTTGAGCTTGCCTCTGTTGAGCATCAGGAGGAGAGTGTTCTCCGAGATTTACGTTCGGGTGTTGCATATTCTGGCGTGCTGCTGGGTGTCACCGTGTGGCCCTCTTCGGGCCTGCTGCTCTGAGGGAATGTGTGGGGCAGGTGTGTGGTCAGCCCGTCTGTGGGAGTTCTTCGCTTGGCGGCAGGTTCATCAGTTGATGGCGGGGGTGAGTGTGGAGCGGATACTGGTGCATCCACCGCTTTGGGTCTTGTGGCCTCCGCTGCTGCTCGCCTTTCTCGCGGCTCTTTGCTTGTACAGGTAGGAAATCACTTGGTGAGCGGAGAGCGTGGAATTTTATATTGCAACTCCGCTACAACTAGGTAGGGCATGGGCGGGCCTGGGGGAGGGAAGGAGGGGGAGAGGAGGGGGAGAGGGGTGGGAGGGCCCAGACCTTGTGCTTTGTCAGGGGCCCAAACATTTCTGATGGCGGCGCTGCGGGTGATGGTCCGTACTGGAGCCCGGGCACAAAAACACAGGAGTGCATCGGTACCCATGACTGGTGGGGCCCCCACACAAGGCTAAATGGACTCTGGCTATTGTGTATCTGCAGCCTCCCATCTCTCGTCACCGGCTAAGCAGCCCCCCAGAAACGCTCACAATACACATGCAATGCTTGTGGTACCTACTTAATATGTTGACACTCATGTATTAACAGGCAATCCAGTGGTTATTATCTCTTGTCAGTGGTTATTACTAGCTAAGTTTCTTTAGACTAACAGTGCTGCGTGGCAAACGATCTTTGACATACTCTCATGCTATTCTGTTGCAGCCTGTTCTCTCACTATCTAGCATGTTACACAGTGCTCTACTTAATTAAAGGGACACTATAGTCACCTGAACAACTTTAGCTTAATGAAGCAGTTTTGGTGTATAGAACATGCCCCTGCAGCCTCACTGCTCAATCCTCTGCCATTTAGGAGTTAAATCCCTTTGTTTATGAACCCTAGTCACACCTCCCTGCATGTGACTTACACAGCCTTCAATAAACACTTCCTGAAAAGAGAGCCCTATTTAGGCATACTTTATTGGAAGTTCTGTTTAATTAAGATTTTCTTATCCCCTGCTATGTTAATAGCTTGCTAGACCCTGCAAGAGCCTCTTGTATGTGATTAAAGTTCAATTTAGAGATTGAGATACAATTATTTAAGGTAAATTACACCTGTTTGAAAGTGAAACCAGTTTGTTTTTTTCATGCAGGCTCTGTCAATCATAGCCAGGGGAGGTGTGGCTCGGGCTGCATAAACAGAAACAAAGTGGTTTAACTCCTAAATGACAGTGAATTGAGCAGTGAAATTGCAGGGGAATGATCTATCCACTAAAACTGCTTTATTTAGCTAAAGTAATTTAGGTGACTATAGTGTTCCTTTAATAGTCTGTTACTTTTACCTTATGCTATACCACAAACACAGTCAGACACCAAGCCTAACACAAGCCTTCTTGCTTCCCTTCTGACTATCACTAAAGCATCCTACAAAATATAAAAATTGTGCAGTCTCACAGCCACACTGTTCTCAATTATATGTGCTAATGTTGTTGTGGCAAGGCAAGCCTTTGTGTACTGTTATATGTACACAACAAAAATAAAGAATTTAATTTTAAAATAATTAAATCAATTAATTTGTGTTTTCTATAAGGTGAAACTTTATTTTAAATTTTTTGACAATCTTTTTTGATTCATGAAAGATTTAAGAAAAATAACAAAATAAGATGAGATATTGATAAAAGGTTACAAAGAGATAATTGTCACAAACAGTTTCAAATGCAGCTGTACTTATAATAAAAAACCTACCATTGTTGTGCATCAAGCATGTCAAACTCGCAGCCCACAATGGACAACTTTACGGCCCGGGAGTACATGCTTATTGTTAAAGCAGAGTAGATACCTGCTTTCTCCACATTGCAGGTGCCTACTCTGCTAAAATTTACCTGGCCGGGACTCAGAGGTCGCTGGAGGAGTTCAGTCTTCCTGATCCTCACTGCTCCCTTGCGCATGCCGTCATATTCCGGCACCCGGCATCACTAAACTGCACGCGTGAGGGAGCAGTGAGCAGCAGGAAGGAGATCTCCAGACAGAAGATCCCCCCTGGACCACAGGGATAAATACAATGATGTGAGTATGTGCAAAAATGTGTAAATGTGTGTGTGTGCCTGTCAGTGAGTGAGTGTGTGTGTGTCTGTCAGTGAATGTGTGTCTTTCAGTGAGTGTGTGTGTGTGTCAGTCTGTGTGTGTGTCAGTGAGTGAGTGTGTGTGTCTGTCTGTCTGTGTGTCAGTGAGTGTGTGTCTGTGTGTGTCTGTCTGTCAGTGTGTCTGTCTCTGTGTGTGTCAGTGAGTGTGTGTGTGTCTGTATGTGTGCTTGTGTCTATCAGTGAGTGTGTGTGTGTGTCAGTGAGTCTGTGTGTGTCTGTCAGTGAGTGTGTGTGTGTCTGTCAGTGAGTGTGTGTCAGTGTTGCAATGGCCACGGCTGGACAGTGGAGAATCTGGAGAAGCACAGAGGCACGCAACGCCATGTCACATTCCAATGTGACGTTGACGTGCTCCCCTTTTACAGGGTTTCAAGAGGTTGAGGGAGGATCCGCTTTGGCGCCAATTGGCGTATACCAGAGGCCGAACTCCAAAATCGCATACTGGCATTGGCAATGTGAGTGGAGTTTGCTTGTTGACTAGAGTGGTGTGCTGGGATTTGGTATATGGGGTGGACTGGGATTTAGTAGAGGGGGTGCTGTGGTTTAGTAGAGGGGGATGCTGTTTTTTTTTATACTGTACTTTTCAAAATAAACCTACGTTTCTATGAAAATTTAAGATTTTGGTTTTTTTGCGGCTCACATAAACTTAAACCTTGTTTATTTGGCCTGTGCTAGACTTTGAGTTTGACATGCTTGTTGTACATGGTATAAGGTGTTCAGGGTCCGGTGTGCCATAATAACACTAATATGAAGGACCAAATAAAATACCTTTGATATTCACAAATTTTACTGTGAGGTTCTATAAGCTTTCCATTGTAGCAAAGACATAAGTGCATTAAACAGAACATATAATTTCCCCATTGGAAAGCAGTAGATATATGTATTGTCTATACTAAGGAGCCTCTAATCCAGCGTTTCCCAATTGGTGTTCCGCAAAACCCTAGGGTTCCGCGGAACACAAATTGGGGTTCCGCCGAAAAATTAGAAAAAAAAATGGCAGTTGGCGTGCGGGCGGCGAGGAAGTAGTGATCTCCCTGCTCAGTTCCCTTGTGCGCACAGCAGTGATGCCGGAGCCGGAATATGACGTCACTCCGGCTCCGGAATCGCTAAGAGGCGCGCGAGGGAGCTGAGCAGGGAGATCACTGCTAACTCGCCGCCAGCCTCCACTGTTCATCTGTCTGCCAGACCTCCTGACCGCCCGCCAAGCTGCAGCCAGCCCCACTGGACCACAGAGACTTCAAGCCAGCAGCCACACTGGACCCTGGGGACTCCATGCCAGCACTCCTAAAGGTAGGGGGGCAGGGAGTAAAATGTAAAAAAATTTAAAAATTGTATGTGTGTATGTTAGGGAGTTTGTATGTGTTTGTGTGTTTGTCAGTGAGAGTGAATGTGTGCTTGTCAGTGAGTGTGTGAGTGTATGTGTTTGTCAGTGAGAATGTATCTGTTCTTGTCAATGAGAGTGTGTATGTGTTTGTATGTGTGTCTGTAAGAGAGTATGTGTGTCTGTCAA